TACTTGTATGGGCCATCCTGTAACTCCTATGCCCGATCTCCTCGTCGACACCCATCGCGCGCGGCCAGCGCGTCCACGGCCGAGCTGCGACACCATCTCCCCCATGCCGCGATGCGGCGACACGGATCTATTACGCTACATGCACGTCTCGTTCTTCAAACCCTGTGCTCCTTTGCTCAATGGACTCTGGCAGCCGTCTAGCTTACCGACCCTACGGCACGAAATCTCGAAGACAGTCAGTCGTTCGATATCGTTCGATCATTGCTATTCTGCTGTCATCAAGTCTAGGCGAGTCAGGGAAAATGTCTCGGCATCGACCAGTTGTCAAGTGCATGTTCTATCGAGTCCTTCCAACAGTCTGTGGAGCGACTCGGTGGGCGCCCTTTCATTTCTTTTTGCCAACATCACCATAGTGACTCACTGATGCTTCGGTGACTTGGTCAGTTTTCGCGCTGTTTCGTATTCCAGCGCTTCGTCGAGTTCGGAAACACGCCAAGCTGTCAGCGTGACATTCAGCTGCTCGTTGGTAGTAATGAGCGTAACTGCTACCTTCTGTTACGGACGAATACTCCAGAACTAGTGAAGAGTGCTTCCGGTTACCCCTGCAGTGTGTAGGTCGCATTGTGAATGGCATCAATTACTACGACGTGGTAAGTATTCTAAACAAGTCAAGAAAGTACGACTGCAAGATTTAAAACTAGAGATACAACAGCAGATCACCCAGATTGTGATGCTGACTTGACCACAGCGTGCTGGCCCTGTGGGACCACATCGAACCCGCTGCCCCCCAGATCCGAAGGAAGAGTGGCGGTTTCATCTAGAATCGGCTCTGTAAGAAGGCCTTCCGCTTCTTCTGGATCTGCATTCAATGCAACGGGTGTCGGACGCAGAAACTTCGGTGGAGCAACAAGGTTATTGAAGAGGAACTAGAACACAGCAACAGTCAACGAAGTCCGAAGGAAATGAACATCAGACTCACCGTTCCGTATCTAAAAGGCGGCGTTTTGGGTGAGTGCACGTTCTAGACATTGGTCTTCCAACCGACTTACACTAGCAAGGAAAACCCGAGGACTTGGAGAAGGGATATGGGCCACAGCAATTTCTCCCAGCCTAGGCCTAGACTGACTAACCAGATCGAAAGGGTTCTGCAGGTATCGGTCAACGACCGAGCAGTCGCGCTGACGTGCCGAGTGACGCTTAGACCGAAGTAATTGAAGAGAGATATGCTACAAGCGATAGCAAGACCCGAGTAGAGAACAGTTGGGGTCTCGACCATCTGCCGCCAGCCCCGCGGAAGGTCGAAGAATGGCGTTTGTGACGAAATCGAAGGAATAGAGAGAATAGGAATGAAAAGCAAGATTGAGATGACACCAAATAGTCCTTCATACCCGACGGCGACCAGTGGAGCGACGGCGTATCGGCCTGGTTTACGGTTGGTGTGTGGCTTTAGGTATGTACTTATGCGGCTCACCCATAATCTTTTCTTCAACCACAAATTGGGTGGCTGTGAAAATCTGGGCGAACAAGACGAAAAAGATGCCTATAAATAACCGAAGTTCAATTGAACTGTCTATCAATCGGACATAAAACCTCACCGAGTAGAACCTTGGTAGCCTCCGGCTGATCTGTCCCTTCTGGGGGTGGCAGCTCCGGCACGTTGGCGAATGACGGAAACATGCCAGACATTAGAAGTGATTCCTTGACGACATCCTTGATGAGCGATCCTGAAAAGCCAACCAAGCTGACGCCTGACATCACTACAATGAGTGAAATCCATCTGGAGACGAAAAGGTTAGCGGCGTCTGGTGATCTAGATACTAGGCTGTACTGGTAAAGCCACAGGCGGCGGCGGAGGAATACGACACTGAGAACTCCGACGAATAGGACCAAGGCGCCTCGGGTCATTTGGTAGATTGAAACAGGCGTGTAGAGGAGCCCAACGTTCATTAGCTGGAAAAATTACGGTGTTATCAATAGGAAGGCGCAATAGAAACGACACAACGGACTGTGGTTCCGGTGAGATCGCAGGCGGCAGGTATCCAAAGCAAAAGGATCTTCCATCCACTCAGTTGCTGAGGCTCCGGACCAAGCTTATTGGGGACAAGAGAATCATCCTCTGCCGGGAGCTGAACCGAAGATTGGCGCCTTGACCGGAGCCACGTGTAGAGGACGGGGAGGAAGCCTATGTTCGAATGGATAAGACACGAACACAGCACGAAGCGAGGAAGATTAGACTGACAGAGCATCTCTCCGACTTGGACGGTGGATGAGATTGAGTTAAGATGCTGTATTGGACCCACTCACGGAACATCTGCAGGGTTTGCCAGACTGGCTGTTCGTACAGGACAGGGTGGTCCGAGTCGCAGTCCTCGACGCATTGCATGTCCTGAGCCAGGGTCAGTGAACAGGGTGGGAAGGAGATGTGCTGCTTGCCTGCCATTTGGACCAGAGGGAGTTGCTAGAACCTATCGCTGGTCTGCACGGCGAGCTCTGGGGGCGATAGCGGCATACCTGTGATGATCATGCCCGCGAGCAGGACCGGTATGAAGAACGAGGAGGGCATGGTGAAAGGAGCTTGCGTGGAAGGATGAATGTTGCTGTAACGCCGGCTGTGACGCGACCCTGCTTCGACTTCGAATTTGGTTCTTACTTATAAAATGTGGGCTTGGAAGGAAACACCTTGCACCCCATATGGTCCACCTCATCCTCGCCTCCACCAAAGGTCTGTCGTCCCCCGCTCCTCCGTGCCCTCGCTCACCGTCCTGCAGGCAACCAGGGCATCCGCTACTTCCCCTACTCCGGTTACCTTGGTCTCACATCCCTCAAGGTCGAAGGAGGTCAGCCCTTTGTCCCCGTCTTTTTCCCCGTCTCATCTTCTCTCAGTGGTCCGCACAAAGCTTGACGCCGACCTCAAGCCGCTCCCCGCAAAGTCGGTCACCATTTCTGTTCGCTGTTATGAGGCCCGTCTTGGCCGTCTTGGCGTAATGCACTCCAACATCCTCGTCGACTACACTCAGGTTCTGTGGTCGAATCCGGATGACGAGCATGACTACGCAGATATTGGCGACATGGAGTTCCCATTTCGAATATCCATCCCCGCCAAGGTCGCTGGCTTCAGCACCGCGTCTTATGTCGAATACCGCTGTACATGGCGCGTTGAAGCTAGTGCGTTCCGGCTTTCACCTTGCTGTCGCGTCCTAAACAGATCCCAGTCATTAACCATGTACCCATCGTTGGTGTTGGGTCTCGTCGGATAAAACACTCTGAACTCCCCCTCCTTCGGTTCGGCTTGCCACCAGCCTATCAGCCATCCACACCCATTGCCCGTCCCATGCTCAACTCCGAAACCTCCCAGCCGCATTCCCCACCAATACGATATTGCGTAAATTCCCCGATGACACCTGTTGGTCCCCTCGACCTCGTGTCCATCCCGATCCATCTTCTCCCCAGCGACCCCGCAGTCTCGTTCCGTAGCGCGAGTGTCATCATCGAACGCCGTATGCAATTCATGGAACCCGCATCCCCTCCATCAACTCCAACGTTACCATCAAGCGCTTCCCCCATTTCGCATTCATTACCCACATCACATTCACATCCTGCATCATCTTTACCTATACCCCAACGGACATCGTCGTCGTCATCATCTCTATCATATTCCCCCTCCTCATCATACCAAGAATCACCATCAGTCGCATCATCCTCTACTCTAATTCCATCTGAACCGCGTTCCCTGATAGGCACCTCCACCCTTCTCGTTAATTCTATAGCCGGAACGGAATCGTCAGGCCTCTTCGCCCAGGGTGCCGACGGTGTATGGAGTAAAACCCTTACTCTGCAATGGCCCGCTGCCAAATCCCATAGTCGCTGGGCAATTGGAGAAACGATACAATCTGAGCTAGTTTCAGTCAGGTTCATTGTCCGTGTCAAGGTGTGTTGTGGCTTTTCCACCTGTGGGCAGAAAATATCTGACTGACGTAGATCGTTGTGTCTTCTCCATCTGGTACGGACTCGTTGGAGCTCGGTGAGAAGGAGCTCTTGGTCGTGTCCACCAACGAGGCTGAGCGGCAACTTGCCCTGTCAAAATACAACGACGCAGCCCATTCCAATTATCCAGACGGCACACGTTCAAAATCCAAGTCTCCGCGCCGATCTCGCAGATTACACGACGAGGTGCCACCAGTCCCCGCGTCCGCCTCGCGAGCGGAGCACTCGCATCGGGTGTCTGCCTCTGGACCCTATCCCCCGCCTTCTTCCTCCTCCAAGCCACTGCGGAGACCGCACACCAGCGCCGGGCTGAGAGAGACATCGCGGAAGGCTGAGGCTGGTTCAGGCTCCGTGTCTGGGCCCGAGGCGGAGCGCAAGGGCGACAACGGTGGAGAGCGGGACAGCTTTCACCGACGGCGGGGGCCGCGGCCAGACACGGGCGACGCAGAGATTGCGGCGAGCCACAGCGCGAGCAAGGGCTATTTCAACGCGCCACTGAAGATCACGACCGCCAACAGCGGCGGCAGCGCGAGCAGCACAAGTCTGAGCGCCACTTCCCACAGCTCGGGGAGCAACCAATCAGACGAGGTGCGAGAGTGGGAGGAGGAGCTGGCGCGGATCGAGATGCGGAGTCGGCGGTCGAGCGATCTTGTTGGATTTGCGAACAAGAGGAGAAGACCGAGCGACGCTCGGTAATTTTGTGTATATTTATGAACTCGATTCGATCTTCGTATAGTCTATATATGCTAATATAATATCTGAGAGCCTTTGCCGGTCGCGGTCGCGAACGGGAGCAGCGAGTCCTTGAAAATGACCCTGTGTATTTATCAAGACTTGGGTAGTCGAGCCGTGGCCATCATGTATGCGAAAGCGACGCTTGCTACGAGGCAGAAATTCTGGAGTCGGGTTCCAGAGACGCATAGTTTTATGGACAATGGACGTGAAGAGGTCATTTAAGAAGCTTAAGAAGCGAGGTAGGTAAAAGAGACAGGAAGAAGGAAGGGAGGAAAAAGAAACGACACCTGAGCGATTCGAACACTCGCGGGGAAACCCCAACCGCTTAAATTGCTATAAATAGCAGGCGATCGCCTTAACCACTCGGCCAAAGTGTCCTTATAACATTCGAGAGCCATTTGTACGTATCCAGTTACTAACCTCCAGCAATTGTACCTGCCCTTTTTTTTTTTTTTTTTTTTTTCTGGCCTGCCCAATTAGAATACTACTGCGACATATACGCGAAGAAAAAAAACGAAAGGACGACGCGGTCAAGACGGGGTTAGACCGCTTGGTCCTCCGGATTGATTCAAGTACAATGGGCCGGCAACGTGGGTAAATAATGTACTACTTGTATTACTAGTAGGCTAGTAGTAGCCACTTCAAGTTGTTCATGGCAGTGCAACGGCGGCGATACGTTGAACGCCGCAAGTGCCAAAGAGCACCTGGGAGTCCGGGACGAAACCCAGATAGAGGTGAAGTCTCAACGAAAAGAAGAGGAAAGAAGCTGAGTACCAGAGTGGCCCCACTACCACCCGAGACTGGTCAGCCTCCCGCCCAGCCGCTGTTCCTTAGCTCGCAGTTTCGGTAGCAAAACGCCTGACTTAATCAGAGAGAGATAAGATTTATATGTTAATTGATCTGCTTATATAAACTTGTGTCAGTGGGTGAACTTCCGTCAAATTGGAACTTTCCCCTCCACACACATCATACAGCAGAAATAACTGAATCTTATATTTTCGGCTCAGGGTCCCCAGCAGCAGCTCGGTTCAAAGTCGGTTGGGACACCAAGCTGCGCTGCACTGTGCAGTGCTGCTTGGCAGCTGCCATATCGGGTCTCAAGCGGTTGTTTGCATCGCATCACCCAGACAAATAACTACCATGGCCCCTCCCCAGCGCGTCCTTGTGTCGTACTCTGCGGCACAGGCGTTCCTGACTTCTGGGAGCTGGGACCAGATACATACCGCGATACTTGAGCAGCTTCCGCTACGCAACATTCATTGGAAGTCTGCGTCCCGACCCTCCATCAGGACCATACAAGAACTGGACATTGCTCTCGTGCCTCTCGAGTCCTTGCGCGACGAGCACACGTCCCAGATACCAGCTACACTACTAGAGAAGCCATTTCTTAACATCTACATTGTGACCTGTGAGGTAGCTCGTGTCATCCTCGAGACAGAGCATCGGAATCTGACTATTTCGCGAGGACACGGACGTTGAATCTTACAAGAGCTCGGTAAAGCGTCAGGTCAAGGACTGGCACTCTGTCGTAATCTCCCGGAAGAACCAGGAGTGGTTGATACTTCATGTCGTCCGGCCGAAGGATGCACGGACGCCCAGCGGAAATTTCTTCCAGCTCAAGGGCTCCGTTTTGGACAAGTTAAAAGCAGACTTTAACACGGACAGACGCGATAGGTATTCTTTGATCTCCTCCGACCTCTATCCCTGCTCACCATACAAGGTGTGTGCAGCTGGCGTGGTCCACTGGTTCCAACAACCCTGCAGCATGGGCCGAGTTTGTCAATAAACTCAAGGACGGCTTGCTTACTTCATTCGATCTCGCCGTTGCTCAGAGGGAGGATGACGTGAAACGCTCCGAGAACCAACGACAGATGCCCGGTTGGAATTTTTGCACTTTTTTCATCCTCAAGGTAAAGTGATCACGCCAGGGGCCCGTTCGACTCTTGTCAATCTAATCCTCCAGGAAAGTCTTGCCGGGTCGTTTCAAGGCGTCAACTTGTTTGAGGATGCACTTTTGCAGTACGACGAACTGGAGGCGTCATTTTATCAAGTGCTGAAAGAAAAGAACCTCTCCTGGTTTGGAACTCTCATCACTCCCAGTCCCAACGACGACTCCAGTCCGCTTTTGTCCATCTCCAAGAAGCCATATCGTGATCTGATCCTCGCCAACACCATTTCTGTATTCGACTTTCGAATATATCTTCTTGCTCGCCAATGCGAACTCCTCGCCAACCTGGGGCGAATCAATGATGTCAGCAGGAAAGCTGGTGCTTTTCTCGGCGCCTTCGGGCGGCGGTTGCGTGAGGTCGAGGTACGTTCGAATCTTCTTGAACTCAGCCCTCAAGTAATCCCACCTCCTTCAGGAAACTATTCCTGAGTACTTCGTGGAATCTTGGACATACTCCTCCGCTCTCAGTGTTGTGGATCAGTGCGATGTCTGGGCTGCATCGCTCAGCTTACAAGGCTCCAAACTTGCCACTTTTAATGCGGGAAAAGGCGAATTATTAGAGTTGGCTCGAAATCAGGTATGAAGCTCTATCATCTGCCCCAGTCAACTTCTTCCTCATCCAAGTGAAGCTCGACACAATCGGTGTCAAAGTCGGCCATCTTCCTGCCCGTCCCCCCTTTTCTAATTCTTCCCGGCCACCTTTGTCTCCTACTTCCATTGCCCCAGAGAAAATTTCGAGCTCGGACATCCTGGAGTCTATAAAGAACAGGGATACTTTCTATGACACATACGTGGGAATCACCAATCGCGCAATTGACATGTATGCCAAGGCAGGCCGCCGGAAATTCGCCCTCAAGCTGCATGGAAGCTTGGCAGCCCTCGATGTGTAGGTCACCTTTTCTGCCTCAAATTCTAATTTGTTGACTATAAACCTACAAGTCATCGTGGACGACTTGCAGCTGCACTGTCAACATACACATCTTTACCAGCACATTACGCTCCGCACATGTGGACTTCTCTAGAGTCATTAATGCTTTCACTAGCCCTCGATACACATGAGAGCCTCGACAAAGCAAAAGACCGTGAATGGATCCACATTCTCCTTTCCTTTTTGAAGACCTATGTCGACACTGTTGGGTTGGATCTACTTATGCACGAGGAAGACAGCACAGAGTATATTTCCCGCCTTGTAGAAGCAATGAAGGATTCGGCAGCGGCGCTCGATTCTGGTTGAGATACATTCCGTTCTCTGTCGTCAGTGCATGCACTCACGAGTTCCAGATTTGCCGCATCCTGAACATCCTGCAATATCGATACAAGTGTCGCCCAACGCAAAACCAGCTGGAGACAAAGATGGTTCGTTCCTTGATGTGATAATTCACAATCACCTACCATGTGTAGCGTCTTTTCCAAGATTTGCCTGTGCCCCATACTCAATATATTCCAGGCTCTTCCCATCGACGAAATTGTGGCAACAGTATCTGGACGAGACTCGGAGCGTTTGCGATTTGCATCACACAGTGGTCCTATACCTCCAGGAAAGACGGAAACGACATTATTCTGTCCAGTGCGTTATTTATATTTTAAAACATCTCCGACAATGCTTTACCAACGCATTCAGACCTCGTCGGCTGGCACATATATCCTCGAGAGCACAGAGGCCCGTATGGCATATCTTGTGCTACAATGGACACATCGGAAAGCCCTCGCCCGGCAGAAATCCGGGTTCAAAAATGGCTTTTCTTTAGTCCGAATACCTAGGGACCTTTTAGCCATGGATGTCCGTCTCCATCAACCGAACCTTAGTGAGCCTTTTCTCAACTAATTCTGGGTCTCAACCAACGATATCTATAGTCGAACTTGGGAAACCGCCAACACTCCTTGTTGCTGTATCAACGGGAAGAAATCATGTCGCGAAAGCATCTATCAAATTTTCTGCCCCATCTGTGACTTTTCGTTGTTTGGAGGTCACCCTTTGTGACGGTAAATGGCACTTTACCTTTCGCGCATAAAATTCAAAAAAAAAACTGTACAGCACAGGATGGCGCAAACCCCCCGAACTTTGACGATGAAGGCATATCACTTCTTGATCTCGTGGAAGGCAGCCATGTTGAGCTTTTACTTCCGTACTCCGATGCCTCGGCCTTTCATGCCATGGTAACAATTCAATGGGTCCATTGCGTTGAGGCTTAATATTCATTCTAGAAAATTGATATAGAAGTAGAATACGTCACGGTTGCTGAACCTGCTATCACTCGAACCCTACACTTGACTCGAGTCGTTGCCACAACCCTTCCTATCTCTGTCAATGTAGAGGATTTCTTCCGTGGAAACAGGTCTGTTAACGCTGATCGACGCTCCCCTTCTCGTGACTAGCACTGACAAACAATCCTAGACTCTTTTCGAAGTTCACTATATCAACTACTAGTCATCAACACGTCCGCATATCTGCTGCGCAATTGCAAATTCCTGATGGTGGCTTGGAGGGTCTCAAGGTAGTAGCGTGCTCTCCTCAAGCACGTAGCGTCGTGGTATGTTTATCTACTCAACTTGTCAATCTCCGCTGAGGGGTATGCTCCAGACTGTCACACCTGCGCAGCCTGCCAATTTTCTGTTTTATCTTGACTCTGCCAATGGTCCAGGTTTGTGCACATCTTCATTATCGTCATCTTGCTAATTATGAGACGAAGTGCGGGATTCTCTCAAGTTTCGTATCAGCTACCGGATGTTGCGCGAGGGTGAGAACAATCACAATATGCTGAATAAACACCGTAATAACGGCTCCTTTTCAGAGGTGGAAGCTTTGATAGAAGCTTCGGTTGAGCAAGTACTGTCAAATTCGACGGCCTTACTTGCGGAAAGAGTTGGTCTGGTAAACAGACTCGTCGAAGCCTTAGAACAGGATAGTGCATGGGTAGAAATGTACGGCATGTCGGCGAGCTCAACGTTCCCGAGGTGTTCGGTCAACTAGGTGAAACCGACGAACCTTTACGCAAAGTAATAAAGGTACATATTCCCTCTCGGACATTTTTCGGGTGCTTATGTTCAATGAAAGCTCCTGCATGAACATAAACATCCTCTACCGACCCAAGGAACATGGCGAGAAATCAAGATCCCTGTTGATGTGCCGTATATGAATGTATGTGATTTCTTACGACCCTTGTGCATGTCCTGATGGTTAACCAGATCATCGCTGCCGCGCGCGTCCGCTTGGTGTCGCCCTCAGTATCTTCAGAAGGATCTCCGCTTTATGCTGGGCAGCCGATATCTGCGGTTCTCAGTATTCATACTTCTTTCCACTGGGGCTCAAGTGTCAACGACAAGGAACGTTCTTTTATGATGCGTTTCGATGTCGAAGAAATGGTACGCGAGTGGTTGGTAAGTGGAAGAAAACGAGGAGATTTCGCAGCCATGGTACGCACTTTGACG